AACTCGTAAACTTACGTAGTTTTACAATGTAATACTCTGAAATATTACAAAAATCGTAAATCTACGGAATATTACGCTGCATTTAAATTCCAGATGTAATATGTCGAAAAGATAACTTGAGAGATAAAACAAGTGTTAAACAATAAATATTTTGTTATTTATTTGCTATTACCTTTTGCCATGTCTTCAAATTAACGTGATTATATAAAGTTATTAATTTAAGGACTAAATTTAAAACAAGTTATTCTTTTACAGTTATCCAATCATCAACATTCTTTTCAAAGTCAGATTATGTATTAAATCATCAATTTCTAACTTAATTTATCTTTTTCACTAGGTGGTATAAATTCCACTAAATTAATCTCTTGCAATTTTCTTTTATAATATTTAATTAATTATAAGATGGTATTTTATATACTGAAGGTTTATAAATAAGTATAAAATATTATTTTTGTGATAAAGTTTGACAATTATGTGATAAGTTTTCTTGTATTAAAAATTTGTAAAAAAAAAATTTTTCTCTAAATCAAATTTTATTAGTCAAAAATATTGGTAAATTTTCAATCTTTGAAATAAGACCATATCTAAATCTGCGATTTAAATCTATTGCGAAAAAAATTATATAATTTTTATTATTCTTCCATACAATAAATTGATAAAATTGATAAAAAGTAATATATATTATGTATAATTTTATATCTTAATGTCTACTAATACTGTATACTTAAATAATTAATACATAATACTAGAAGAAAGGCTTTAATAAAATATTTGTATAAATAGTAATATTTCTTTTACAATTTGCAAAGAGAATAATATTTATATGTATAGCTAAATAGAAAGAAAATTTTCAGAATTTTTAAATATAATTTGAGTTCAGAAAATGAACTTTAATTTAAATTAAAAATATGTTAATTGATCAGAAGTTTATATAAAACAAATTTTTGTTAGGATATATTTGGTTTAATTATAAAAAAAGTAAAAGTAAATATAAATTTTTAAAAAAAAAAAAATAAGTTATTGTATAATCTTGGTTTTAAATAATTTATGCATCATTTAAATTTATATTATCTATAATTTGAAGTTTGACATAAATATTAAGAAATATATTTTAAGACTTTTATATTACTTACTTTAAGGAATAACCAAATCCTCTTGATCTTCTGAATAAAGGTTTGGATTATTATATATTTCCTTATTTATGATTTAATAATTATTTAATCATTTAATAAATAAATTATTTAAAAGTAATTCCTTACCATCACTTTTAATATAATTTTTTTGTCTATTATTATTGAAGTTTATAAGGACTTCTAAGAAAATATTTAATTTAATAATTATAAAATTTATACAAATGTTATTAAATAATTACCTTTAATATGATTAGGTTTATTTTTTTAAATTTTGTGCATGAATTTTCATTTTCTAACAAAAAATTTTTATTAGAAATAACTATTACAAATCGATTAAGTTTATTAGTATAATAAAATTCATTATTACTATTAAAATAATTTCTTTTAGAATTTCCTTTTATTTCAACATTTACATCTATAATATGTGTAAATATTTTTAAATTATTAAACTATATAAACCAAATAAATATTACAATAAAAATAATCTTACTAATTTGCTTTGCATCTTCATTCTGTTCACTTTTTTCTTTACATATAACTTGGTGGTTTAATAAATAAATTAATACCATTTTAAAATTGTTTGTAAAAGCTTAAATACTTACAATTTGGAATATCAAGACTATTTTGCTTACTATCATATGCTTTGTTTTGAATAATAAAAAGTAATATTAAATAATTATCAATAATAATATTGAATTATAATATTTTAAATATATATACCTTCTTGTTCTTCTATTAATTAAAAATAAAATAAATTTAAATAATTTCAATTATCATTTAATAATTACAACTCAATAATTTACCTTTAGTAGCATTTCTTGGTTCAGGTAAATTTTCAAAAATATGAATTTTGCTAAATTTTCCAGCTAACGAGTTAATTGATTTAGAGTTTATATCAAAATTTGTACCATATGTATTACTAATAGTATGACTCTCATCATTTTTATCTTGAAAATATGATTTATGAATTTCTAAAATTTCGACCAAAAGTGTTTCAGCATCAGGTCTCTTCAATAGATCCGCATCCCAACATTGTACCATTAATTTCTTATATTCTGTTGGAGTCTCTTGTACAATTTGTGGTCTCAATCCTTTTATTAGATTTATTGCAAGATCATAATTATGTTCAAAGTCAGCAAATGGCTGTTGTCCAGATGAAATTTCCCACATAAGCATACC